AACGGACTATTTATATAAATTGTTTATGTAAATTATACTAGACACTGACCACGATCATGATAATGAGTCTCCTCTTGCTGAAAATATCTACTATTAACTGAATATCCACTATTGTATCCCGTAAGTTTATTCTGATTGTACAGTCTATCAAGTAAGAGCGTGGTCGGGTAAATGTATGAAAAAATTTATTAAATAAAATTTTTATATTTATATATGCATTGTACTCAATACGAACAATGATGCAATTATGTTAATAATGTGTCTAGTCACCACCGGCGTCGATAATTGCCTTGCATGCTTTCGACTAATTTGACGGCGTATTCTAGCGGCAAGGATCTTCAGATCCGACTTTCGCAAGATAACTGCTCCAAAGTGTGTGTGCGTTTTCCACGAAGCTTCTGCTTAATATATGCCCACACATTTTCGATTAGGTTTGCATCGGGCGACTGCGACGGCCAATCCAATGTAACGATGCCAGATTGCTTCTTCCACTCGGTACAGAGCTTGCTGCGGTGTTTAGGATCGTTATCCTCCTGCAGAATCCAAAAAATCAACGACAACTGAATCTTTCTTGACAATGCATCAAGGACAAAGCTTCCGTCTATCGGCTCACGAAGGAATTAGAGCGATATCTTTTATTACCTATCAGTAAAGTCGACCACGCTCTTACTTGATAGACTGGTATATCTCAATTATACCAGAGATGAAAAAGCTCAATCGTAATTAAAGCATTTTACGGGTACCTTTGAAAAACAGTGGTTTTTATTTTTTTTTAAATTTGCTGATATATTCTACAGATAAAAAAAATATGAGATACGTATTTCGCAAAAAAATTTGAGATTTTTTTTGTAAAGTTATTAATGCTTGTAAGTTGCAAAAATTTATTTAAAAAACATCGATTATAAGAATATTTAAATTATTATAACGTCGAAACCATTAGTCGTACAAAAAAAGTACAAGAGATCTTAAATTGTTCCATAGATAGATTATTTTTACCTTATTATATTCATATAAATAAATCATTTAATTTTCATTTATTTAGAATTTTTATTAACATTTTTCATCATCAACTCATTAATTAAAAAATTTTGTAAAAATGTCATTATATTTCCACTTCGATTATAAAGTATCCCTGAAAATTTCAAGATGGAACTCGAATGGACCGCATATACGGAACTACGCCGTCACACAACAAAATTTTTTAACTATACAGTCCATTCGAGTTCCATCTTGAAATTTTCAAAGTTACTTCGTAACTCAGGTGAGAATATAATATTTTTACAAAATTTTTAATTGATAAGTTGATGATAAAAAATGTTAATAAAAATTGTAAACAAATGGAAAATGATTTATTTATACGAAAATGATAAGTGTAAAAATAACCTATCCATATAGAACAATTTAAGATCATTAAAATCTCTTGCATTCTTTTTGTACGACAAATGGTTTCGAGATATAATATACGAGTAATTTGAATATTAGCATGAGCAACGTTTTTTCTGCAACTTATGAACGTGAATAACTTTACAAAAAAAAAATCTTAAGTTTTTTCACGAAACACGTGTTTCATATTTTTATTTTTATCTGTAGAATATGTCTGCAAATTTAAAAAAAAAATAAAAATGATACTTCCGAGGTGACCGGTTTTATGTGGAATGCCTCATTTCTAGACGTGCTAGTTGTCCTATTATTGGAATATTATCTCTATTATTATAAATAAGTCGCAAAAAGTATAAAAAAAGAATATGCATTTATTTATCGTAATATATTATATGTATGTATTATATATAGGGTAGTCCATTTAAATCAACCATCTGAAATATCTCGCTTATTTTTGATAATATAAAAAAATGTTTTAAATGAAAATGGAACGATTTCGAGAGAGGCGTATTTTGATTATGTTGTTTTCTTTCTAGGTGGAGGCATCAAAAAGATATGAAAATCACCTCCACTTTTTTAAATCTCGTGATAGTGATAAAAGAAAATATTTCATAAACCAGAGTTGTCTTAATATTATTTCTTTTTGAATTATACAAATTCTTTTGTTCTTTCGAAACTTTTGTGGTAGAGAAAGAAGCGGCGCGAGAAAAAAGTTTTACTGGCATATAATAACTAAAATCGTCAGAATATATATTTAATCTGTAATCCATGAGAAGAAGGAGTTGCTAAGTTTAAACGTGAAAGAAAAATGGATATTTCTCATTAACTTATTCTTTTTAACGTTTACAATTTTTTTTTACTGCAATATCTATCACTTGGAAGCGTAAATATTATAATTAACACGAATTAATGTCAAAAGTTCGAAGAATTTATTAAAAATAATAAAAGAAATAGATTCTAAAATCTGTCGAGTTTGATAAATCATGTATCTTAATTATTTTTTTGAATGATACTCCCGAAAAAATCTATATCTATAATACTAAAATAATCGTCTTATCAATTGGATTGCTGCCGAAATTCAACGATCCATCCGGATATTTATCTGATAATTTGAACCATATATAAATATTTATTATTTATCCCTTACATTTGGGATAATCTATTCGTTGCCGCACTGGATCAAGAAACTGTCAGTCAAAAGTTCAGTCTGCTCGAAGAAAAAACTGTGTTAACAGCTATAAATACTCAGGAAACGAAGAGCAAAGAGCGTGAAAACGCCTACGGAAATAAGTTTGCACAATTGCAAATGTGCCAACGTTTTACAACCACATCCTAAAAAAGTATACGAGACTTCGTTTCTCGCCGAAAAAAATAAAAATAGCTATTAAACGTTTAATGCTAGAAGAGTATATTACTAAATAGTAAATAAAGAAATTTATGTATCTTAAATAAACTTTATTCATTAATTTATTTTACACCCCTCTAGTTCCGCGTCTCTCTTCAATCCTTTTATTGAATTATACTTTTTTATTACAAGTGAAGAAAACGGTTCTTTTTTTTTATTCACGTAGAAAATAAATAAAATAGGAAAAAATAGAAGAAATACGCTTTCTTATAAATTTATCGACTATATCTGTGTGTTATGTTACTTAATTAACTGCAACAAATTCCTTAAACATAAACATATCTAATGTTTGCAAGATTGAAATGGAATACTACAATATTTTTAAATGTTTAATAAAGAATTAATTGTTCAAACATATAACAGTTACAGCTTATTTTACATTAACAGATGAGTCGCAAAAAATGATTAAAATAATGCTGGAATATTATCGTTACTATAAACATATAATACACTAAAGGAGATTTTCTAAATATCTTATATGTAAAAAATATGCCAAGGGGAAAAATTTTTTAATCTTGTCTCTCAACATAAAAATTTTATTGATTTATTAGCAGATGAAATATGCTTTATTCATTAGTAGAAGCTTTATAAAAATGAATTCTATTATATGCAGTACGATAATACACTATCTGAATTATACATTAGATGTTGTTTACTATACTATCGTTACTCAGAAAATATCAAGGCCTTGAAGATATCTGAAAGATATATCTCTACATTATTAAAAATATCTTCAAGACATTTCTATAATAAAATATAGCTTCAGAATATTTGTAACAGAAATTTCAAAAATATTTAAATAAAACTCTCTTACAAGATGTCTTTGATCAATATTCATATATTCGATTCTAATTTCAAGATTGTTTTAAGTGATGTTTTAAAATGTTAATACTCTGTGATTGATTTATGACATAGAATAGTCTTAAGACTGTTTAAAATAATCTAATACGGTATAAGAATCAATTGTAAATATCAATCTTTGAAATAAGATTTCTATAAGATATGTTAAAAGTAAACTCTCCAAGTCGCTCATCGCCGATAGAGGAACGTGGCGAATTCAATTTTTAATAGCAAATCATACAAAAAAGAATAAAAGACGCAGAATTATAAGATTTTCCAACTTTTTACCTATTCTTTGCTAATTGGTAAGTTAATGATTCACAGATAATCTATCTGTATTTTATTTTTTTATCAACAGCAAAGAATAGGTAAAAATTTTAAAAATCTCATAGTACTATGTTTTGTGTTTAAAGATCAATTATTCTACAAAGATATCTCCAAAATCTTCTTAGATATCTTTTAAACAACTTTCATATATTCAGATATCTTTTAGAAATATCTTGAAAATATTTTTAATGAAATATCTTTCAGATATCTTCAAAATCTCGATATTTTGTGAGCAAAGTCATTTTATCTCATTTACATATAGAACATTTGATTTGATTTGATTATCTTCTGGGCACTGTGCACGTTCTTGTCATATCATGTTATAACTATTCGCAATAATATCATTAACTTATATCAACAAGTTGACCTGTAACGTTTTTTACACGTACAACGTACAAGGATAAATTTGTCGGTAAATTCAATTTATATTGCATTCGATGCAGTCGTTTAATGAAACGCCTATAATACAGACATGCCTATAATACAGATGAAAAGATCAAGGTGATGGAAGAAGATTATTGCGGTAAAACGAGCGAGAAATAGCGCACTAATTTTCCATCGATCAGTCAAGTTTACGCAGTGCGAATGAGTTGTCGTTACGTTTGCATGATGCGCGTATAAAGCAACGTGTAATTTCGCAGAAACTCCGTCGAAGCGCAGCTGTCACATTCATCTATTTGCTATACAAGCGAGTCATCTCTCTTACTTAGAGTGCTGAGTTTATATTAAAATGCTTATATTAAACTAAAAGATTATATTAAAAGCGCCGAATAGTTAAAGCAAAAGAAAGATGAAATAAGAGAAAGTGTATCACTTTCAAGGAACATTATTGTACGCGCGATTCAAATAATATTTTTAAGACGACTCTTTACGGCGTAAAGACAAAGAAGAATCTTTTAAAAGACGATTAACTTTAAACGTCTCATGAAAAATACAGGAAAATCATCTTGAAGTGCATCTTTCAGAAAATAAAAGTGCAAATAAAAGTTAGTACTTTATCAATAATGAAAGTGTGTCTAAAGAGAAAAAATGTTATTATGTAATTTATGTACAACAAACTTATTTTACGCGGCGTAACTTTCATCACAAAAAAAAATCTGTGAGTCTTTTAAAAAAATTATTAATAATAAATGTGCTCATAATGTTGCAGTGTATTGGAAAACTCTACGACTGCAATATATTTATAACTTGCCTCTATATATATTTGATATTGTTTACGATAATATTTGCAAAAATAAAGCTTTATTGTGAATTAAAAAATTCCCAATAAACATCGTTCCGTAACATTTACGTAATCATTACGGAACAATGCTTCACTGCTCTGTAAGAGTTACATCATTTTCAGATCAAAATGTCAGCATATTTTAATTATATTTCGCGTAACAAAGTAAAAGAAAGGAACATACCCGTAACATTTATATATAAATAACGTAACATTATCACAGTTACGTAACATTTACGAAGTTTTCAGAGAATGAAAATTTATGTTATTCAAATTACGTAAATGTTATGTTAACTATGCATCGAAATAGTGACAGTACAGTCATACGTAACAGTTATAATCATTTTACGTCAATGATATACTTGCTACGTTTTGGATTCGTTGTGCTGTTCTGTAAAATTTACATACACTATGCTATGTAAATGTTCCGAAATTGTGCACAGCCTGTTTACTGGATTACACCTACAAGTATTTTACATTTTTATCTCTCTTAAGAATAAATTGCTAACACTTGTCTTTATGTAAAGCTATAAAGATAAAAATAAGAAAACATGTGTATAATTTTTCTACGTGAAATGTTTTGAACGTTATAATCGATAAAAAAGATATTGCACTGAGATAATTGATGTTAAATTTTAGGTTTCTCAAGAACAATTAGATATGATTGACACGTAAACATGTATTCAAGGTCTGGTTTTTTTATCAAAACCAGTTCACGTTTCTGTAAAAAAATCTTATGCATAATCTAAGATCGATTTAATTACTGTAAATTACTTGCTGTGGTTGACAAGATGATAAAATGTTAATTTATTCTTAAATAAACCATATTTAATTTAACTTAATTTTACGTAAGCAAAGTAATTAATCTAATTAATTACAATTAATTACAATTCATTTACAGAATCACTTTTTAAATCTCCTTTTTAAATAAAATTACAAACATAACTTATAAAAAAAAATTATTATTATATAAATAATTAAATAAATCTTTTAAAAATTGTAAATTATATTTGTCTAAATAAATTCTCTATTTCTTTCTTATGGATATAAAATTGAGAAAAAATATTTTAGTCAATAAATTAAACGCAAAATATAATTTGGTCAATAATTATAAAATTCGGCAATTATTTTATGTCGAGATAAAGAATTAATGCAACTATTACTATTATGTTTGATGCTAAAGAAATTGAATAAAAGAAAAAATAATTGATTTAAAATATAATTTAATTTATTAAAATTAAACTGAATCTTATTGTTTTTAGTTCATAGTTGTATTCAAGTCCGATAAATTGAATCGATGCACAATTCGATGGACTAATAATTAAACTAAATAACTAATTGTATTTGTATATTCACAAATGAAAATTATTAAGCTTCAAGATCTACTTTGACCAGAAAAAAATAAAATTTTTTCTCTTAATTATGTTTAAATTAAAACTGTTGTCTATAATATAAGTAAGAGAGATGTAAAAATTTGTTCAAAATTAAACAGAAATAATCAAAATTTTTCAATTAACCAATTCTCATTGTGACTGACAGGTAATTCTTCGAATATTCTGAAACATGGAGTATTTGAACGTCAAATATAACAAGCGGAAATTTCCCAAATACGAAATCCTTTATACCGTTTACATAGAACGTTTAAATTCAGCATGCAATAATACTCTTCCAAAATGTCCTTCAGGCATTTTCCTCTAAGAGACGTCCAGATTACTAAGCTGAACCTCGAACCGCGAACATTTTGGCGAATATTTTATTATCTTTTGCCGAGTTGCATAATAAATGTTTACCGAAATGCTCGCGGTTTGAGAGCCCCAAGGTTTTGTTCAATAATTTGAATGCACCTTAAGAATGCACCTTAATATATTATATATATTTTTTTATAAATATGTTAATATTTATATTTTAAATAAATTATACTGTAAATAATACATATAAAAGTTGTGTTTATAACATTCTATTCGTCTTGAATAACACGTTTTTATTATTCATTTATTCTATTAGTTATTATTTTTAATGTTATAAATTAAAATTAAAAAATTTCAATTTTTTGTGTAAGTATTTTAAATATTTAAAATAATTTAAGAAAAGTTTCATTTGGAGATTAATTACAAAAAAAATTATCTTTCAATACGTGACTTCAAAATAAACAATTAAAAAGGTTGAGCATTCGCCAAACACTAGATCGTGTTAGTAAAAATAATATATACACACACACACACACACACACACACACACAGTAAAAAATCGTGCGTCCATAGATAGAATTTTTCTTGTGTTACCACATTTTGATTATTACTTCAATGTAAAACAAACATACAACTGGTATGTTATTATTTTTGTAACATTTTGATGTGTCAGATTCATATCACCTTTCTAACTTAATAATTGCACAAAACTTAACATTGTATGTCAATTAAAAATGGAATATTATTTTGAGTGTTTTTAACACAATTGTTTCAATTAATCTATACATCTCAAAGTTAATTTAATATCTAAGAATTTTTTCATTCACATTATACGAACAAAAATGTTTTATTAACATTTTTTTTCGAGTTCCTGCAACTACTCTTCTATGTACTCTACTTATTTTATATGTTAGTTTTAAATCACCCTTAAAGTTAAAATAACAAATATAAATGTAAAGTATTGTATCAATTATTTAACATTACTAGTTCGTTAATAAATAACATAAGACGAATAAGTTATTTTAACTTGAAATTTAGAGTGGATCTCCTGGGACACGTAAAAAATGTTAAAATTAACATTTTCTTTTTTACTGTATATATTCTTGATACAGTTTACAAAATTATTTCATTAGATCGACATAAGTAATATACATTAATAAAATAACCATATCATTAACAAAAAATAGACGTTTCGGCCTTAAATATGGCCATCTTCAGTATTACAATCGTAAATCAACATTAAAATATTAAATTATGTGCGCTAATAATTTGTCGGTTAACGTTACAATGTAATTGTTCAATTACTTAATATCCTCTAGTCAAATTAACATTTTAATCCATAGTTCGTATTTAATTAAATGATAGTATCCTCTAGTCAAATTAAAATTTCAATCCATAGTTTGTATTTAATTAAATGATAGTATCCACCAATGCATAATTGCTTGTCAATTTGACATAATATCATTGAAATTATAAGATAAAGTTTCCAAACCAAATCTTGAATTTCCGTCTGATGATTCACAATGGAAGATTACTTCTTGTCAAATTATTACTGTCAGAGGTTGGTTTCAAAATGTATTTAATGTAATATTAATGTATTAAATGTAATATTTTCACTAACATGATCTAGTGTGTGGCGAATGCTCAACCTTTTTAATTGTTAATTACAAAGGTTTAGAAAAAGTAAATATTCTATTTATTTACCGAACAACTAAACTGTGCAATGTAACTTTACATAAATAATTTCGACTTCAGTGTTATTTTATAATACATTTTTATATATTTCTATTAGAGCATAAAGAAAATACTACTTTTTATTAAAATAACTTTTCATTCAAATGACAAATCGTTTTTATTAAATCGTTTGGCTAAATTTTTTTATTATTTTTAAATGCGATCTAGAATAGTTAATACAATTGTTTCATAATTTTTTCATTATTTTGAAAATATATATAATACATTCTTAATATATAATTTGAGTTGGTTAAGTCTCCATTAGATCGATATAACTCTTTTCGCGCGAGACAGAAATTGATATGTTCCCCACGTCATTTGAATGACAAATATAAGCGACCAATCGCACGAGAACGATAATTGGACAAACTTTAAACTGGAGAATCTTTAGAGAAAAAAGGAGTATTGGAAAGATTTTGAGAATTTGAAATCATCCTTCCCACTTTAAATGCCCCCACATGGAACATGAATCTTACTTTTTAAGATGATCGTGCGATTCCGCTGGAGAACGGAGACACATGTTCGACCGTCGACATCGTATCTCCGATGAATCGAAAGCATCGCCCAGGAAACCGAGGTGCGGCCGGTGCCGGTGCCGAGAACGATGAAGCCATCAACGATCAACAGCAGCAACAGCATCAACTTATCGAACGTCACCAGCTTCTCTCTTGTTTCCCCGAACCTCTGCGAGAACCTTACCGATTTCATCGGCCGCGATGTACTCGCTGAACAATCGATTGAGTACCTATGGGATACCAAGAACATGACGTGTCTGAAACGGCATGCACCCGAGTTAACCAGTGCAATATACCTCAAAGTCATCGTGTTGGCAGTTATATCGGTTCTAAGCCTAGTCGGCAACTTGGCAACGATATACTCGATCACGAAGAATCGTCGGAAGCAACATCGCTCGACGATTTATCTCCTGATCTTTCATCTGTCGGTGGCCGATTTGCTAGTCACTATCTTCTGCCTCGCTGGAGAAGCAATCTGGAGCTACACCGTCGCATGGCTGTGGGGCAATATCGCGTGCAAGATCTTCAAGTTCCTACAAATGTTCAGCCTGTATCTAAGTACTTTCGTACTTGTGCTAATCGGCGTCGATCGATTTGTCGCGGTGCGGTATCCCATGAAGGGCCTCAATACACCTCAAACGTGCTCGCGATTTGTCCTTCTCACTTGGCTGCTGTCTTTTATACTCGCCACTCCACAGGTAAGACGATTTTGTTTTACGTATTTTAAATATGAATCAATAAAGGTTTCCTTACTTCAAAAGCGACACAATTCAAACAATATAAATTTCGAATTTTTACGAATGGGTTAGGAAAAGATTACTTTACCAAAAGTACACGATAAATATTTGTATTTCCACCAAATAGTACTTGTGTCTTTCCTAAGATTTCCAAAGAAATCATAAAATACCTTCTACAAAAATTATACATTTTAAATTGTGTTGCTTTTATAAATAAAAAAGAGGGTCTTCTACAGAGAACATTTAAAGTTAAGACAATTTTGGCGATCAATGTTTGAAGAAGAAGTTATACTTTATTTTGAATTTAGTCATTTTGACTGAATCAAGACTATGTTTAGAACAGAAATGGCCAATGATATTTTAAGTTACGTCACTTTTGATAAATCATTCTGGTTATACATAATTTTCTAGGACATCAAAGTCGTCACCACACGAAAAAAACTGGTTTTTCGTTGTAAAACAAAAATAATAAAAATGACATTCAATCATGTTTCTGAGAATATTTCCTTTTACCGTTATTTGCCTGGTTTACATCGTGCACTTGATACACGTACTAACTAATAACTTTCTATTAAATTATTTTAATTTCAGCGATGTATTCAAAGAATGATGTACTAAATTGATATAATATGCATCAAAATGATTAATTAAATACACATATCATAATATGTTTACATGTATCGCCGAAATTAAGATCATTCAATAGAAAGGTAGTACCCGTATCAAATACACATTGTAAACTAGGCCATTATAGGATAATTCTGGCATATACGCCGCACCTAACAAAAACTTGATTTATTAAGTATTATTTACTATTTTTAAGATAAATAAACTATATTAGTAAAAACTTGTACTGTATACTACTATAGAAACATTATTAGAAATCCGAAATACTTATTATATTTTTCTTATTAAAAAAAAGAACTTTTTGAATTTTTGCATTTTTGCCGTATATCCCAAACTAGGGGTGGATTATGACTACTCATAGGAGGAGGAGGTATGTTACGGCTTATGAAAAATTAACAAATAATGCTTATAAATAATACGTAAAATGACACAATAACTTATAAAATATGTTTACAAAGTTTTATTAAGAAATAAAAATGATAAATATGTATATGAAGTATAGATAATAATTACGATCTTTCTACATATATTACAAGTGTTATTACATAAAGTACATATTTCATGTAATGCGTTTATTGCATTTAGTGCACTGAATCCAATCTGAGCACTTTGTATGTTTTAGGCATAAATCTCGCCTGCTAAAAATGCCGTATATCCCAAACAGGTGGAATATACAAGACTACAGACTAAACAAAGAATACAAGAGCAAAGCACTTGTATTTTATTTTATACAACATGCTTTACTACTCCTCTAAATTTGTGTACCTCACGAAATAACCATTAATTGTAAGTCTTTTATGCGCCCCTAATTATTATTATAGCCAGTAACCATTTTATGTAGATTATAATTTATGATGACGCTACTAATTACAGTGACAAATCGATTCAACTCACAATAATTTCATTAATGTTGACAGTAAGAAACTGAAATCATAACACAATACTAATATAACATAAAAGGTATGTAACAGAGTTGCGGAAAAATTACTCCCCCTCCCTCCCCCTTTCCCTTTCTCCCCCTCTCCCAACTCCTTCTATTTTGTCTCACTTCTGCGGCGTAAATTCCATCGCGGCGTATTTGCCGGAGTTACCCTATGATTAGTTCATAATTTTTTAAATAAAAAAGAGGTCCCTTTCTCCTTTTCTGAATTTTTTAAATTATATGACTATGAAATAAGAGAACGATATGTGTACTATGTAGATATACATGATTCTCTCGTTTAGACATTTAAACATTTAATTTTACAAGTTGCATTTGTTGTATTTATGCATAGTAAAAGTGATTTTAATGTATACAAGGTGTTTAATAATTCTACTGACAACGTTCATGGGCAGATAGAGCGGACTAAACTGAGTCGAAAAGTCCTCTACCATTTTGCAATTTTCGTAATAATTAACAAGATATTAATTACTAAAAATCGCTGAATATTGATTTTCAATAATTTTTTACTCAAATACTATATATCAACTTCACAGAAAAATAGCGAGAGACAAAAATTGTTTATTTTCTTGTCATAAAGTTCTGAGAATTTTTTCATGAATTTTTTCATGAACCATGTATTCAAAATTTACATATTTTTTTGAAAAAATTTAAATTACACTTTTATGTCTTATAAGTTCTTGTTTTATAAAACAAAGTACGTATCTATCCGAGTAATATAATCTATTGGCAATAAATTTATTAAACGTTGACATGTATTGAACCAATATTGCGCCAATAAATTATATTACCAGGGTACATTCTCCAGTTAAAAAAAATTTATTATATTTTATTATAAAATGGCATTATACAAACTCTTGAACGTTCCCGTACTAAAATAATTATAAATAATATTGATATAATAAAATTTAAATAAAGTATAATTATATAATTAGATATTTTCATAGGTTCTCTCTTTATATTCTTTAAAATCCAGTAAATATCTTACATTATTTACATTATTTCGATTATTATTTATCACACAAATTCCACGATAATTTATTACAAAGACACATTCCAAGAACAATGGATATTGCGTAAAACATGCGATTTAAATCTTTATTCTTGATTTATATAATTATATTAATGTACGTTACATTATGCACTCGAAGAGCATACGTGATTATTTCAGATTTCACGTATAAGGAACCGATTTATATTTTAATTTAATTCTCAATTATATTATTTATCGATATTTTGAAACATGCTATAAAACGCTTTAAAAAGATTAAATTGATCATTAAAATGGCATATGAGTTGATTTCTCTGAAAATTAGTTTTTTATCTGATGAACATTTAAAACAGAAAATCATATTAGCAAACGAATGACTCATTTAAATATTAAATAGCAGTTAAGTATCGAATCGTGGTATCGTCAAGGCAGTCGACCGCTAGAAAAATGCTTATCGATTATACATAAACTAGATTTACATACAAAAAAATTATATAGCTGAAGACATATTTAAGAAAAAATCCAGTAGGTGCTTATACTATTGTCTTTTACTTAACGCAATTTTAAACCGGTAAAAGAGTTAAATAATGTCATAAATGATCTGAATTATGATTGTAAATATAATCAAGATTCCAGAATCGATTAAAAGATTACATAAACTTGACAAACAACAAACAAGTTTTTGCTTGGAATTATAACTCAAAGAATTAAGGATTATACATACATTAAATACATACCGGTCACATTGTTTTTAGAAAAAAAATTTAGAAATAAAGTAATCTAACACAATGATATATTTTGAATAATTCTTAATATTTTTTGTAATTAATGTAAGACACAAAAATTGCCTTTAAATAAAATAAGCAAAAATAAAATAGGTAAAAATCTTCTTTTATATTTTTCAAGCTGTCTAAGATATTTTACTATTCAATCAAACTGTCTTAATTAAAAGTAAAATCAACATAATTTAAGATAGATTTGTAAAAATTCGTCATAAATAGGAGGATATTTATTCTATGATAAAGTATGCAATGAAAACTTCGTTACTATTCAAATATTTTGAAGCATTTGATTGAATTAGAAGAAAAATTGTATTAATTGACCAAAAGAACGCTTTAAATCATTTTTCAAACCTCACGAAAACTAAAGAAAGAAGAGAGAATAGTTGAGCAGTCCTCTCATTTTCAGTACTGTTATAATGTCAATTACACAATCGCATTAACAAAATCTATATCAAAATGTGACTGCTTCACTTTTTTACCATTAGTAACAGCGATGTCATGGACATCTATTAATACATGCAATATTACGACCATTACGATCAATTATTATAGACAGACGTAACTTGATTGATGAGTCTCAAGTCTTTGTTGGAAAATTTCTTAGTTATAATTACATCAGAAAACTACAAACTACACTACGTATAAAACGCTATATAATTTATGTAAATTCTCATGGTAAGTTTCTCAAGGAACGGAAATAAAAGAAGGATTTTCCAAAAATAGAAATAACAAATCAGAGATATTCTGATTTATATTGAGTTTCCGATGAAGGAAGTCAAATTTGGTCGAAGCGGGTCTTGATATCTAATAATATTTTTACAATTTTCGGTTCGAGCAAACTGTGCGCCGATTATTTGTCAATCTTGAAACACAATTCTTAGCTGAAGTCCTAAACTGGAGCACTGCACTTGACAAGCAATTTAATATGACTGCTAATGAGCATCTTTAAAACACTGCAAAGAATAAAGAAATGCAAAGTACACATTAACTATGATAAATAAGAAACGGTGTAATTAATTTAATCAAAATACTCCCTTATCACGTCATGGAAAAATAAAAAAGAACCACAAGCATTATACAACACATTCTGTATTCATTATGTGTCATTAATATAATACAAAACACTGTCTTGTTGTGTATTCCTCAAGGTACATGTACATAGTATTCCAGAACAAAGAATTAATATTTTATGAAATATCAGTCATTATATACCGGAGGAAACATTTCATATAAACGTATTTTGTGAACTTATTTCAATTTCATCTTTAATCAACACTTTGTAACTCTGCAACACGTGTTCGTGGAAACTTTCAACTTCCACCATCCGAGATATTGACCATTCGAGATATTCTTTCTAGAAGTTCCCGTATATAGAAAGAATACATTTTCTATTTAATCCTTTGAGAAGTATATATATATATAGTATATATATATATATCTTTTAAAAAATTTTAAAAACATATATATTACAAATTTTTTTGTAACTTTATATCTAGTATTTAATATTTGTAAATCACTGAATTCGAATTTGTGGAGTAAAACTTTTTAATTTCAGAGAATAATTTACTCAGGACAGAGATTCAAAGTCCGGCAAATTTTTGGTTTATGTAATATGTACTAT